GAGAGAGAGAGAGAGAGAGAGAGAGAGAGAGAGAGAGAGAGAGAGAGAGAGAGAGAGAGAGATTTGGTAATCCATTAGTCCCTGGAGCAAGGTCTGAACCAAGGTAGGGTGAGCCCTCAGCCACAATAGGAATTGTCCAACAAGCCCCTTCATTGCATCAGCCCAAACGTCAACCAAACCTAGCTCAGACAAACTCCTTAGCATTTGTACATAGCCACATGGGAATCTGACAACAACAATAGTATGCATGCTCTTGCACAGAAACAGGAAGCTCAAGTGCAGAGCCCAGGAGAAGGTATAAATACCCCCTACTCTCAACTCCATGTGGTCAGTTGCCCAGAACCACTCATTTTTTCTCCCGTACCTTTCCCCTAGCTTGGAACTGAACCAGACAGATATTTCTTCCAACACTGCAATGGTCATATATGCGAGGACCAGCTGTAAGTCACTTTTTTTCAGTGTTATTGAACCTTAAGTATTTGCTAAGTTAAGGACTACCTACACAAGTAATTTATCCAGTCTTAAAGGTTCCACCAAAGAATTTCTTAAGCCTCTTTTCCTATCCCTGCACGGGACAACAGAATCAAATATTTCTTAAAGGTAAAGGTTCCCCTCACACATAAATGCTATTGATTCCCGATTCTAGGGGGCGGTGCTCATCTCCGTTTCAAAGCTGAAGAGCCAGCGCCGAAGACGTCTCCATGGTCATGTGGCCAGCATGACTAAATGCTGAAGGCGCACAGAACGCTGTTACCGTCCCACCAAAGGTGGTCCCTATTTTTCTACTTGCATTTTTACATGCTTTCAAACTGCTAGGTTGGCAGAAGCTGGGACAAGTAACGGGAGCTCTCTCTGTTACACAGCACTAGGGATTTGAACTAGTGAATTGCGGCCCTTTCTGATCAACCAGCTCAGCATCTTAGCCACCACATCCCTTATAAATATTTCTTAGAGTAAGGTAAAACACAGCCGCCCCTAAGAAACATTTTCCCCCCTGATATGTTTGTCCCTTTTATGCAAATTGCCTCTACTCCAGGAAGTTGGGTTGAGGGAGATGGATTATTTCAACCCAGCAGGACACAAAAGAAATGAATATTGCTAATCACGCCCGGCAAACGAGCAAAGCAAAATGTCCCTTTGATTGCTAAATTAAATTGTGCTTCTTGCCATCCAGGAAAGGGTAAAAAAATAATAATCAATAGGACTAACTAACTGGGTTTCTTGCAATCCTGGCCAAGATTATTACACTTTCCCTGCAGATCTTCCTAAAGTTTAACTGCTGGTCTTGGGAAAAGTTCCCGTGATTAAATCTTTGCGCTCTTCCTAACACTCAGTGACAAAGCTATACGCTCTGCCTCTTTCACGCAGTCATTGGAGCACTGATGTGCAGTGGGGAGGTGGATGCTGATCTATAACTGGTAACACCCTGACACCAACTGCAAGCTTCACCTACTGATGACAGACTATATAACTTGCCTGGCAGCTGAAGGCGGCCTTGTTCTGCATTTGCACAATGCGCTGATCCATAAACTAACCAAATGGTTGCACAAGCCTAACGCTCAAAATGAAAAAAAAGTTTAACGTTAATAAAGTTCACTACACCATGGTTAGCCATTTGATTCTTAATTAACCTGGTTACATGCATTTATTCTTTTCTAAGCCAGGGACTGCCAAACTTGGCAGCGTTTAAGACTTATGGACTACCATGTTTTCCCGAAAATACAACCTGTCCTGAAAGTAAGGCCTTGCCACATTTTTCGTGTGGGCAAAAATATAAGCCCCCCCCCTAAAAATAAGCCTCCTGGACAACCCCCCCCCTCCAGCTAGGCAGAACATCACTCACCGACCTAGCGGTATCCCGGAGGTCCCAAGCCGTGGAAGCTGGGCGGGGGGGGGGAGAGCTGAGGTGGCGCAGTGGTTAGGGTGCAGTACTGCAGGCCACTTTAGCTGACT